ATATATATATGTATATGTATTAATACATATACTTACTGTATTTATATTCTTCTCTACAAAAACTCTCCTTGAGCAAATGAAAAAGGAAAAGTAATGCTTATAAAGTGGTCAAAGAAAAATGCATGCTTCCTTTTCCATAATGACTAGTGGGGGTGAGCTTTGGACATTTACTTTGGACCTTCGTTCTGTATATCGTGTCTTGTTTATTATACCCATTTCAAAGGCAGAGAAACTGAGGGGCAGAGTCTTTCCTAGGCGCTCACTCACTGGCACCTGACCTGCAGGCCCTGCTAACTCTAGACTAATGTGGCTCTGGCCCTTGCATGGCCTGTGCTCTTGGTTTCCACCCAGCTGCTTGTTTGTCATTCTCAACCCTCATCTCCTCCTGCTTCAGAGCTGGGGACCGACAAGGACACGCCCTTGTCCACTTCGCAGTGCCTGGGCTCTTGTATCCTAGAGCTAGGTGCAGAGTGTGCCAGAGAGGGCTGGAAAAAATGTCACAGAGCTGTCAACCTCTTCCTTGAGCCCTCAGCCACCCGTACTGTTCATGGTCAGGACGATGGCCCTCAGCTTGTCCTAAAGCCCTCTTATTTCAGTGCTTTAAAGGTCAAACCAACATTTGTCAAAAGCTCACACATGCAGGAATTCTATCTGAGACTAGAGCTCCAGGCCACACAAGCTGGGTTCCCTTAGACTTAGCCTCCCATGGGTGGGATATGATTGGTAGAGCAAAGCCATGACTTCCAGAAGTGGGCAGCAAGTGCCGGGCAGGACAGAGCTGGTGTAACTGTATTGGGAGCAGAGACGAAGCTGAAGCTGGCATCGACCAATGGAGAGGAGCCTTCAGGGACATGGGATTGGGATCACAGAGTCCTACACAGCCATGCATGCAGCCCCCGATTACTGGAGTTGTGATGCCCAGTCTACTCCTGCCTTGGTTTCTCCCTGCAGGAGCCTGGGTCAAGGTCTTGCCATCTCCAGAGCTCCAGGAAGGCCAGGCTGTGGTCCTGAGCTGCCAGGTGCCCACGGGGGCCCCTGAGGAGTCCTCATACCTCTGGTTTCGGGACGGCCAGCCCCTCCATGAGTCAACCTCAGCCACGCTGCGCATTGCAGCCATTACTCCGAAGCTTGCTGGCGCCTACCATTGCCAAGTTGAGGCCCCAGGCTCAGCTACCAGCCTCGCTGCCCCCATCAGCCTGCATGTGTCCTGTAAGTGCTTGTCCCACCTGTGGGGTGCGGTGGGGTGCATTCCCTGGTCCTGGGCTCTGTGACTGTAACAGGGCCCTGGACGAGGGACCCCGGCCAGGCCTGACCACTCCTCACCCATGCAGATGCCCCACGCCAGGCCACACTCACCACCCTGATGGACATGGGCTCAGGACGACTGGGCCTCATCCTGTGCCATGTGGACAGTGACCCTCCAGCCCAGCTACGACTGCTCCACGGAGACCACCTGGTAGCCTCCACCCTGCAAGCTCTGGAGGAAGACTCAAGCAGCGATCCCCGGCTACGTGTGTCCGTGACAGCCAACACACTGCGCCTGGAGATCCACAACACAGTGCTGGAAGATGAAGGCACCTACACCTGCGAGGCCACCAACTCCCTGGGGCAGGCCTCAGCTTCGGCTGACTTTGATGCCCAGGGTCAGTGTGTGTGTGTGTGTGTGTGTGTGT